AACTAGAAAATAACAAGGGGATTCAAGTGGAAAACCATTGGAAACTGGTGGATTTAAGTGGAACAAAATAGGGAAGCCAACCTTGCGGGTTTGGGAAAAAAACGCACATTTGTTCAGAAAGAAGCCTTCAACATATGGATCTATTATTCAATCTTTAGATTGATGGAGAGTACCCAGAAAAGCAGCATCATCGTTCAACCGAACCAACTTATTATTTCAAGTAGAGTACTTCTAAAGCGAAGGGCATCAACCAAATGATGGTGTTAGTTTCTGAAAATATCTGGTGTGTGGCCCCAGTTTAAACTAACCATTTTTTCCACAGAAAAACGATGAAAACATGATGACCATCCACTGGAAAAACAATGGTGCGCCAGTGTCACCCAGCGACATGTAAAGGGCGTTGGGACAGGATTGCATCGCTGCGTAGTGAACCACCTGAGCCAGCCACGCTGGGGAAAAAGGAGGGATTTGATCACATGGCTTTGAGTGACCACTGGGTAGCCCTAAATCCACTTGATCTTCAATTTTCCCATATTTTCCCATATGTTCCCATATTTTCCCATACATGTCCAATATGTTCCCATATTTTCCCCATGAAACTTGAAAGAAAGCGGTTTTTTTTGTTTCGGTATACCGGTATACCAAAACTATCAACAGCATGCACAGCTCATCAGGAAGATTACCTCCTTTCAGCTATTTTTTCGGTGATATACAGGAACTGTTGGAAAAGGCCCTTGCAAGGAGGTATATTGTTAAGAAATGCAAGGTGAATAAGACCAATGGAAGGGCATATTGATATTTGGTTGGATGTTATTGTTCATCTGGTTGGTGGTTTCAACCCCTCTGAAAAATATGAAAGTCAGTTGGGATTATTATTCCCAATCTATGGAAAAATATAAAATATTCCAAACCACCAACCAGTCATGGTTTCTGAATTTCCTCGATCATATCAAAGGTCCAGCCAGATGGTCGGTGAAAAGAACTTCCAAAGACGATCAAACTGGGTTGGTCTGAAAATGATGAAATTTGATGGTGACCATTCAATTTGGTAGAAATTCAAGTGATGATTCGAATAGGTTCCATGTTCACTACTGAATAGTTATCAAGAAATGAATGGTTTTTAATCACCCTTACTTTGATCAATTTCTTATATATATATATATATACATATATATATACATATATATATATATATTTATTAATATATTAATATATTAATATATGGGCAAATTATAGAAATTCACTAACCTGAAATACGACAAACAATTGGCTACTTCCCCTTAGTAACCATGCCAGGGTTTGGTCGTGACGTGAGGTGCTTATAGACATACAGCCACAGCCCCCGAAGAAGATGCCCCAAAAGTCTTTCCATATCATATTTTCTGCTTCCAAATTTCCCAGTGTCCTATCTATGACTTGGGGTTGCTGTAGCTTTGGTTGGTTACAAAGCACCATTTTCCCATGATTTTCCCAAATTGTCCCATGAAATCCCACTATCATCTCATTTACATCCCATTCATGTCCCATTAAACCATCATTTTTCATGGCTAACCCCATTCTTCTGGGTAAATTATAATATTTCACTCACCGGAATAGTTCGGCCATAAAAGGGGATGATTCCCCTATATCTAAACCATGATTCCCAGTGAGGGAGACTAGTGAGGTCGTTATAATTTACCAGGAATAATATATCATATATCTAGTGGATTCTAATGGGTTGTTAATGGGTTTATATATATATATGATATAGATATATTGAACATCCCCATTTATGGATGATTTGCCAAACAATGGATATTCTTGGTGACCAAACCCCCCCGCCATTGAGGCAGAAGACATTTTGCTGCGCATCCTCCACCACGAGTTTCTGCAAGTTATCCATGTTCGCCTCCTAGAAACCGCGAAGTTACTCTCTATCACCGCTGGGGATGTCTTATTCGAAAAACAATGATGATATCCAAAACTTGTATCATACAATTAACATGTTATTATATATATATAATGTTAATGTTACTATACATATATCATAAATCTATGACTATGATGTGATATTTGTTTAGTCCCCATATCGGTTTATTACATACAATGTCATGTGATCACGGTCTCCGGGCAGCTCAGCATCTGTTCATCCAAAATGTTCGTTCTATATATATCAGGCATTGGAGCTACTGGAGCAACAGTAATATCTGCCATAAATACAAACCTGGTTGGTGGTTAATATATGGTTAATATACTGGTAATATATGGTTAATATATGGTTATTATATGGGTAATGATCTTGAATAATATGGTTTATTAATGATTACTGGTTGGTGGCTTCAACCTACCCCTCTGAAAAATGATGGAGTTCGTCAGTTGGGATTATTAGTCCCAACTGTCCCAACTGAATGGACAAATAATCCAAATGTTCCAAACCACCAACCAGAACTAGATATTTAAACATAGATATGTAGGCATTCACAAATAAACTGTTTAAACATAGGCAAGTATTCGATATGTCTGCCATAAACTCACTTTAGGAGGTCTAAATCAACTTGCTTAACATCAGTTGAAGTCCCCATTTTGGGCAGGTTTAATCCCCAGCTTAGCTAGCAATGATTACCAAACTTCAGCTCGTTGCTCTTGAAACGTAGCCTCTGGTTTCATGAAACATGGCGTGCTGGAATATATATATATATGTATACACACATGACATTGTATATAGATAAACAAAACATTTGTATATATATATATATATCACCGCAAAAAAAAAAAAACAAAAACGTGCATGTATTGTGTATGTATATACAATATATATATATATATTGTGGGATATAATGGGATAATTAACCAAAACTATGCTATGATGTAAAACTTAAAACTTGCAATTTCATTCCTTTGGAGTCATTGCGAAACCAGGGCAAACGGCAAACCTAGGCATTTTCAATCCGATATGATCGGGGGAATCCACCGTAAAAGCCGCATTGTTGGGCCAGTGTTGCTGGATCAAATCTTCAACTTGGCCCATTACCCTCTGGTAATTTAATATTAACTATGGAAAATCATTTTTGTTCATTGGAAAACTCACTATAAATGGTGTTTTTTTCATAGTAAACTAACATAACTATGGAAAATCACAATTTTTTAATAATAGGTAAACAAAAAAAACTATTTCCATGGTCATTTTCAATAGCAAACTGTTAGCTTACCGGAGGGTATGTTGCAATAAATCTCCGGAAGATTCTGACGCGCATCAGTGAAGGAATAACCTATATAAATTGTCAGGGTGTATCAGTTGAAGGAATAAACCACCACCTTGCGGGGTGAAATCCAGATGCTCCGGCCATCCGGGCCTAAACTTCCATACCCAAATCCAATGTGGGGCCCCCCGGTGATGTTTGTTGGTTTATAAACCCCATTAACAATAGTTATAAGTATCATACACATTCACAAACCATAGTTATGAAGTTATAAACCAACTTAGCTATCGTTCGGGGGCCCCACATTGTATATTATATCTCTATTACATGTCCATTACTGCCAGTGTAGCGTTATATTAGAGTTATATGTCTATTATCTATTATATCTCTACTATCAGAATCCACCCCCAAGTCTATATTAAATCTACTGAATACATTATATACCCAAACCCCTATTTACATCATTTTATATCCCCCAAAAAATATCCCTATGAAATTAACCCGATAATATATCCCCAGTTATATCCCTATGATATGTCCATTACTACTCATCCCTATCAATTATGTCCCGTCAAAGTGTCCACCAGGCCTGGATGATCCGTTTCGGGACCTTCAAGGTGTGCAAATCAAAGTTTCCTGGGAAACTTCAACTTGTCACCTACAAAGTGGGGCCCCCATAAGATAGCGTTCAGTTGGTTTATACCTACAATAACTAGGATTTTTGGTAGTTATTGGTAGTTATAACTATAGTTAGATTGGGTTATAAACCAACAAACATCACGTTTGGGGGCCCCACATTGTATAGAAAATGATGGTGAAATGATGTGACATGTATCTTATATATTCATTCATGGGGCCACCAAACGTGATGCGAATGTTGGTTTATAAACCACTATAGTCCCCATTGACTAGTGCGTTATATCTGCAATGAACCATAGTTAAGCCACTTATAAGGCAACTTAGCTATCTTGGGGCCCCCATCCTGTAAAATATATTGGAATTCATGTAAACCTGCTGGTAAATAAACAGTTCCACCCTTAAAAAAACCCTGGCATTTAGTGAAAACTTGAACAACTCATATAAACAACCCTGATAAATGCCAGGGTCGTCATGTTAATTTACTAGAGGGTATCTTAAATGGGTAAGCGCTACTGGTATGGTTTTGTTATTCCGAAGGTTTTAATGACCCAAAATGGATACGTTCGTTGGAACCATTGGGAAACTATGTCAGGCCGATGGAATGTGAACATGGGGGACTTAATCATCTTGGGGTCTTGGAATGTAACACCAATTCATTTTATAGGAAATAGAGGGCATATAATCGGATATGATAGTTGGCGGTTTTCCCGAAAAATCGTCAGTGCCTTGGTTGTTCAACCAATTAATTCAGCTCATCAGCCCATTTATAACTGGGGTGAACAAATTAACTGAGGTAAAATACATTAAAATCGGATTTCAAAGCATAAAAAATTGGGAGTACTTAGCCTATTTTCAGGCTAAGCCAGTATTGGATTTCTCACCGGTAGTCAAACATGGCGATGGGAAGTCCCCGATGAAAATTTCCATGGGAAATCATCAAACTAAATGGATCTGGTTGGTGGTTTCAACCTACCCCTCTGAAAAATGATGGAGTGAAAGTCAGTTGGGATTATGATTCATTCCCAACTGAATGGACAGTCATAAAATTCATGTTCCAAACCACCATTTCTCCCATTTCCGGACTGCGTCGCCTTAGATCACGAAGGCGACCCCCTTACAGGTGCCAAACTATGCACATGACGTGAGAACCACCCCAGGAAAACCTTTGTTTCTCTGAGGAACAGGCAGCAAGTCAATTGATTTCGACTGCCTACGATATGGAGCATCTGTGTGCAAAAGGATCCAATCATCAACCATCGTCAAACGTTCAACAGGCCAAGGAATGGCAATGCAGCTCGAGAACATGGCCACCATTGTGCTTGCAGGACGCACATAACCAGTAGAAACCTCTGCACCACTATGGCGAAGAATCTCGCGCAGCAATTTCCCAAACCAACGAACGCGAAGCCGGAATGGTCTCGACACCAATCCCTGCAGTGGAAAATCAGAACCATCACACCACTTATGCAATTTGAGGGGCCCGACCTCACCAGTAGAACTAGCGAAGTCGATGAAAAGTTGAGACATGGCAACCCATTGAACCGGTCCAACAGCACCATGGAGCGTGTCCCAAAACCAAGACACAAGCTTTCGCACCATGCCATCCCCATACCAACGCACTGCTTTGGACGGGAGCGATTCCAGGGGAGGCAAAGGAGTCCACACAGGCACACAATCAGGAGTGTCTGGAGAAATGTCAGCAGAGCGAGGGGCATCAACACGCAAGACTGCTTGACTAATCTGGAGCAACACCTGTTGAATGGAGGAGTTCCATCTGTCAACCAATTTACAAGCTGTCACATGTCTACCAAGCAATTCCCAAAACTGCGGAGGGCGCCTCATGTTGGCACGGTTGGCAGCGTTATCAGAAAACTGGTTATGTAGAAAACACCATTCCTCAAAGATTGTTTTCGCACTGTGCAAAGATTGATGAGCAGCAACTTTCGTGATTGCGACATACCCTGGACCTAATAAAGCCAAATCATGGGAGATTCGCAGCCACAAATCAGCGTTGGGAGAATTGATGCGTGGGAATCCTCCAGCAAGAAGTTTTCGGAGTCTGTTCACGACTGCTTGACAATCACACCAAATCATGATTTTAACTTGGTGCAAGGCAGCAAATCTCACCGCTCTGAAAACAGCAAATAGTTCCGCCCTCATGGATGTCTGTCTTATCCCCGGTAAACTACCACTGTCCAGAATGAAAGAAAGATCAAAGTGGCCAGGGTCAGCCACGACAATCGCCCAAGCTGCAAAGCGCGCATCAGGGTACTGAGGATTAAAGCATGACCCATCAGTAAACAAGTGCAAAACATCACTAGGGCGAACTGCTAATGGAGGTACTGCACCAACATCAATCGCAGCCAACGAAGAAAACCACTCTTCAAAGGTTGAAGGTCGAAGAGACCAACCATAGGCAACCACGCACTCAGGCAGTGAAGGAAGGGCATCCCAGAGATCCTGATCCACCATGTGTCTGCATGCTGTGAAAGCATCACACTGCCAAAACCTGTGGAAACGCGAATCACTACAGGAACAATATGGGCACGTGTCAACCTCACTTTCTTGGCAGTAATGTTTCCCATCTTGAGTGATATGAGCACCATTCAAGATTTTCCTGAAGCAAGCCCGATCACAAGGTGAAAGTTTTTGGAGCCACAGCCGTGTCTTAATTGGATCTATGAGGTGCAAATCTTTCAACCCAGGTCTGTGCTGAACATTGGCTGCAACAACTTTCAGCCATGCCCACTGCATCCGCCACACAAGGTCATCAATTGCCACATCAAAGAGAGAAAAGTAGCCAAAGTCATCCACGAACATCATGCGATCGACATGCCACCCAAGAGTTTGAACCCGTGTGAGCAACGTAGCCGAGATACCATTGGAGGCAAAGTTGGATTGCCCCTGCACCATGGCCCAAAGAACCGAGTGGACTACATCCTCAATTCCACAATCACGAACCATGCGAAAGGTCTGAATGATAGACCAGAACTGCGGATCGGTATGGGGAACCTCAACAAGGCCCAAATGAATGAAAGCATTACAACCCGAACCATCAGCCCCAAGCCCCTTCATGGCACCAGAGCGCAGCGACTTGAAAGTACTGGTAGCCACAGCGGTCGCTGTGATCGCGTGCAAACCACGGGGCCAAGCACCTGCACGAATGGCCCGGACTTTTTGCTCGTAGGCACTGGCTGAGAGGCGTAGCCTGGACCACATCGGCTGCAAACTACTGACTCGTTCCATCTGGGTTGAGTTAGTATGTTTCCTAGATAACTGCACATGGGCTCCCAGCGAACGGCAACTGGACACCAAGGTGAATCCTTGTTCTCGGAGCTTCTTCCGTCCGTGTGCAGTGACTGACCAGGCACAAGTCTTTTTGAGATCAAGTTGCAGGTCAAGTTCCCTCGTGAACCTATCCAGGCACTGAAACATACCTACCATGATGTTCGGGTCAGCGGTGATCAAGGTCCAGTCATCAACATAGGACACCGGCTGACACATAGGGAAAAAGGCCAAATGCCAGGCATGAAACAGCATGTCGACCAACACCATGCCCAAGCATGAAAGCCCATCACCTTCTGGCAAACCAGTCACACTGTAAGCAGCTTTTGTCAAATTGGGGCCAAGCTGGAAACGACGACCAATGTCAGACAGAGCACCTGCCCAAGCAGTCAAGATTCGCATGGGAATACCGACCATCGCAGCAACTTCAAAAATTACAAACCGCGGCAAACAATTGAAAGCTTTCTGAATGTCAGCAAAAATTCCCGAGAGGGAAACATCCGCAGCAATGGAGTCTTCCACCGCCCACAAAAGCTGGCTCCAGACCTGGCCTGCATATCGACTAGGACGCGAACCGTACAGGGTTGATGGGAGAAGACCATCAAGAGCACGGATACCAAGTCTAGCATGATGGGAACCCCAAATTCGGTCCGAGACTCACTTAAGCCGACTTTTTTACTCATTATAAGCCGACATTTTGTATGTTGACTTCAGAGTTAACTCCATGGGGTACAGACCTTTAGGTTAACACTTGGGGACACTTGGGGTGGGTTTAGGGGACACTTGGGGACACTTGGGGTGGGTTTAGGGGACACTTGGGGTGGGCTTAGGGAACCAACTCCAAGGGATACAGCCCTTTAGGTTAACACTTGGGGACACTTGGGGACACTTGGGGTGGGTTTAGGGGACACTTGGGGACACTTGGGGTGGGCTTAGGGAACCAACTCCAAGGGATACAACCCTTTAGGTTAACACTTGGGGACACTTGGGGTGGGTTTAGGGGACACTTGGGGACACTTGGGGTGGGTTTAGGGGACACTTGGGGACACTTGGGGTAGGCCTAGGGAACCAACTCCAAGGGATACAGCCCTTTAGCTTAACACTTGCGGACGCTTAGGGGACACTTGGGGACACTTGGGGTGGGTTTAGGGGACACTTGGGGACACTTGGGGTGGGCTTAGGGGACACTTGTTCAAACTACCAACACGTAAATGCATGTGCCAGCCTGTAAATCAATGAAACTGTTCTCATGAGTATTTCTGATACACATGCACACGCCCTCTGAGATCAGACTCAGATACATCGTCAAGACACTTCCAAGACGTATATTATACGTTTTAAACTCTTCTTCACGTTACTTGCCAGATGTTCCTGATACGTTGTAGCATCTTCTTCGAGTGACTTGCAGCACGTTCCTGCTAAATCTTCTGCGACATCTTCTTCGCGCCCCTTCCGTTCCATTTTCCATGCATGACGTTGTCACATCTTCTTCAAGTCCCTTGAATGATGTTCTTGCTATGTTGCAACATCTTCGTCAAGTAGCTTGCAATACATTCCTGATACGTTGCAACATCTTCCTACTTGTAAGTAAATTGCACGACCTTCCTGATACGTGTGTCACCTCGTCTTACAGTAACTTGCCAGATGTTACTGATACGTTGTAGCATCTTCTTCAAATGACTTGCAACCCCTTCCTGATGCATTGTGACATCTTCTGCGCGACACGTCCGACATGTTCCATGCATGACGTTGTCACATCTTCTTCAAGTCCCTTGAGTGATGTTCCTGGTATTTTGCAACATCTTCGTCAAGTAGCTTGCAATACATTCCTGATACGTTGCAACATCTTCCTACTTGTAAGTAAATTGCACGACCTTCCTGATACGTTGTCACCTCGTCTTACAGTAACTTGCCAGATGTTCCTGATACGTTGAAACAACTTCTTCAAGTGAGTTCAAACATGTTCCTGATACATTGCGACATATTCCTGATACGTTGAAACATCTTCTGCAAAGTGACATGCAATTCATATGATCGAATCGAAATGTCCTGCTCATCATCTCTGTCGGACCTGTTGCAGTCATATTGAAAGACTTCTATGTCACTTTCTATTGGTGCTGCCATCATATTTCACAAACGTAGGCGTAAGCGAGTAAAAACGTAGGCTTAAGCGAGGTACTGACCTGCAAATTCGGTACAGCAAACCCAATACAGTAATGGGCCGATAATCCATGACCCCGGCCGGAGCATCATTCTTGGCAAGACAGGAGACCTTTCCTTCCAAGAGCTGGCCAGGCCAAACACCAGTACTCTCAGCCTCATCAAACATCATGCAAAATGAAGTCAAGGCAGACGTGGGTAAACTTTGGAGGTCCAAAACTGACACACCATCCAAGCCAGAGGCCGAGGAACGCTTACGTCTGGAAATGGCATGACCCAAGGACTCAACTGTCAACGAATCCCATTGGAACTGATGCCGCGGCAAATGAGTACGGGCAAACTGAAGAATCACATTCCAACGCTCCGGAGGGACATTCTTGTGTCTGTCCCAACGTTGCTTCCAAGCATCAAGGAAAGAGTTGGCAAGTTCCTCCTTAGAGCCAGTGGACAAAAGCTGAGACACTGCCATGCCAGTCCTAATACCATCGATGGATTCCACATACAGACAGTCATCCTCCGCATGAATGACCGACAAGGCAGAACCATTGCAGAAGACCGGGCGTGTGGACACCCACTGCTGCGGGGGCTCAACCACTACAGCGTTGGATTCCTCATCAAGGTCAACAACTACTGCTTTCAACGGCCTCAACAGGAAATCAACTCCATTGGAGGGGTGGTCCTTGATATCACTAAAAATCAAATTAGGGTTCTTTGCACGGCGAAGCCGAGCATATTGCCTTGAGGACGACCGGAGCTGGTTTTCAAGCAATCGTACTTCAATGACCATGGTCTCAAAGATTTTCAGAGCACACTCAATACTGGGTGGAGACAAGGGCAAGTAACGGTCAGCACCAAAGACTTTGGACGGACAGACCAGCCACCATGCAGCAAAACCACCATGAAATCCAGCAGCCCGAACAATCGCGACCCACACATCACTCGCAAAGGCAGAATCGCACCCATGGACTTGAACATGCCGAACATAAGACTGGAGGCGACGTGTTGTCTAACCCACTGAGCATGCCGAAATGACGCACCATGGAAATGCGGGTTAAAATCACCATTCCTGGCAAGTTTAACAGGGGGGCATTTCCCAACCTGCACTTTGGAGAGTCTCTTTGTCTGAGCACGGCCTTTCGTATGGCGTCCAGGCACAAAGGGCAACTTTTGCTCCGCCGACTGTTCAAACTGTTGCCAAAGCTGAGTGTATTTGTCAGTCGGAGTGCCTTCAAGGGAACCCCACAAGTCAGCAGGTACACACCACTCATTTGGCCAAGGGAAAGCAGAGGGCATTCTCCACACGTCACGCGGAATGCATTAACTTCAATCTTCGAAAAGATCCTTGCAACATGGCATGGTCCGGCCAAACATCCCAAACAAGCTGGACATCAACAAGGAGAGCTTGCAATTCAGCCGAAATGTAGCAGAAGTCCTTTCTAGTGCGATGCTTACAGGTAGCTTGAGGAGGGATGGCCCACCTATCAAAAGCAAGGTCTTGCAGATCACGGAATCCTGCTTGCTCAAGCATGCGGAATGCAGGCAGCTCATGGTTCAAAACATTCCAATCTCCCGCTACGAAACGCGGACCAGACGAAAGGTAACAGACCGACCCTATGACAGACTCCAGAAGAGCTTCTGTATGTTGAAGGCGATTTGCATACAGATGACTTTCAGGTTCTCCATACACAATTCCACCGGTCAGCCACACATCATCAAGCAAAGTAGTGAAAGCCAAGGCCCGAGACGACTGCGCAATTTCATTCGGCCAATCATGCGGAAGACGTCTAACAGGCGTTTTGGACAGCACACCAACTCCTTTCCACGTACCAGCATTGGTCCTGGAACTCGGGACAGGGAATCCACCAAGAAAAGGCTGAAAAGGCGACCCCGCAAACTTCAAACCGGCATTAAGAGACCCAACTTCTTTGGAACACAGGTGAGTCTCGGAAAAGGCCCAAACATCCCCATGAGCCATATGGGAGGCCACGTATGGCGCTTTATTCCGCAACCCAGAAGGATTGGCAGTCCCCAAAACAAAGACATTGTCAGGACCGGGGTTTGTGGCTTCCCCAATCCGCAGCAAAAGAAAAAGCACAAAGACACGTACAGCACTCATCAGGTGGAGTCTAGACTGCCTTTGTGAACGGCACACGGCCAACCCAAAATAACGAAAGGGCTCCAGGAAGGTGTTCAGATAGAATCCAGCAATCCAAAATGGCAGCATCAGCCAAGACACTACAAAACACCATCCCGACCCACCATTTCACTCACATCTTCCCTGGGCCGCTTCGAAAGAAGCCCTCGGATATGCGACAACTGCGTTTCGAACATCGCCTGGATATTCTGGCTTTGCTGCTCCAGCTGACCATGCATCTGTTGAGCCTGAACATTCAGTTGATTCTGGAGATTGCACACAGTCTGCGTTTGCTGTGAAGAAAACTCAAGGAACTGCGTTTCCATCTTCCCATGTTGCTGCATCAAGCTTTGTACTTGGCCTTCCAAGAGCTGAAGACGATCAGGCACATCATCCTGTTCCATCGCTTGGGGCAGCCGAGAAAGCACTGCAGATTGAATCCTGGATTCTAACTGCTGCAAACTTTCGGAAGCATCAGGGACAGCATTAGCTGGGGCAGATGGCTTGGACACCGGAGCATATTGCTGCCATGGATCTTGCTTAGACCATGGGTCCTCTTTTGACTGCGGAGCAGAGCCACACAACGCAAGGGTGGCAGCAGAAGCAACTGGTGCATCATCAACGATTTTTGGAGCTTCAGAAATCTTGTGACGTGAAATCAAAATTTCCCCAAGCGTGGTTTGCACAATGCTATTCGGAGGATCCTCAACCGCCTGTACTTGCCACATAGCACCTTTCCCCGGTTGGGGTGCACTGGGCTGAAGGGGCTTGCATTTCCATCCAATCAACTGCATAGCTTTGGCAACTGCCATGCGATCCAAACCAAATGGCACAGGACCAACCAAAAACAAAGAACGATTCCCTTGCGGCAAGAACAAAGTCCCTGGCTTCAACATTTGGTGCACATTCTCAGCCTGGTCAGCAAGGACGCGAAGTCCTCTCCTGTCACCAACTCGAGCAAGGCCAGACACTGCGGGCATAGTCTGGCGAAAGTGCAACAAGTTCTGCAAAGTCTCCTTAGGAGTCCATATCACCATGTACTGATCCAACACAAGCTTTCCGTCAGCTGTTCGTGGCTCCACATACAGACCTTGGTGACCACTGCGACCAAGCACTGCCGACATCAGACTGGATGGGAAACGAATGGACACAGCAAAGAAGTCTGCATCACTGGCATCGACTTGCTTAAAGCCAAACTTCAAAAATTGACGACGCCACAAGTCAAGGATCGGATCACGAATCTGGGGATTGCTAGAAGGATGCCATGAACTGCAGGTGCAACCTTCGACTTCACAACGCTTAAGCTCTGGCAACAGTTGAACAATGGCACGAATGGGGGCTTTCGAAAACGACTCCCATGACTCAGCAAACTCATCCCGATAAACCGAGATCCGAACAGTGTTGACATCAGGCTGGTCAAGTGAAACTGGGTTACTGGAAGCAAACTTCTCAACCGTCCCAGACCCAATCTGAACAATGGTGGCTTCAATCAAAAGGGGCTCATTGTCAACCACACACCTGCAGGGAACAGTGCACTGGACTTGGGAAAGCATGGACTGTACCTGGACATCTCGCCTGTGAACAACCACCAGCGCCAGAGGTTCTTTGGACACACATTTGCCACTTCGCAGGTATGGTTCAGCATCCTGAGCACTCATAAGGACAAAACCAGAGCTGACAGGGCCAATCTGCTGCGGCTGCAGCTGGGGCAAAACACGACCTTGAGCACGGAAAGCACCCTCAAGCACCTGAATCTTCGACAAATCAAGGTCAACCGAAGGGGAACTCCCGGCCCCTGCTTGTCTTTAGGTTGTTTCTTTCCAACTGGCTTGCTTTTGTTGGAAGCAACTACCGCAGCAAGTTCGGAAGGCAAAACAAACTTGAAGCTCACATTGTTCGCCAGAGCTCTCAACTGGCGCCATGGCTGGGGGGCCTGCAAAGCTTGAATCAACTGTTCACTGCCAATTGCACGAATTGCTTGGGACGCTCTGGCTTCCGACAACTGCGGAGGGACACCATGCTTAAGGAGCTCTTCGGACAACGACTTGACCAAAGCTCCCGTCCCCCCCGCACCCCAAATCAACGGGCATCTGCAAACCTGATCTGCGTAGATCTCCTGGACAAAGTGAGCACGCATGTTAGAATGCATATTGTGAAGCTCATCAACAGTGTCCGGAAGCGGTGCTTCTAGCAAAACATGTGCAATAAATGCCATGGTGTGAGCACCACAGAAATTGTGTGACGGCAATCCATTGGGGATTCGGTGAATAACCACATCCTCAAAACCAAGATGGAGTCCCATCCAACGCAGTTTCCCATCAAGTCCATCATAGTCACCAAAATCGTTGAAGGTATGAACAACCAAAACACGCCCACCTGGCACAAACCACAACAGAATCCAATGGCCATCAATCCAAAGGGCTGACACAATTTGATGACCTTCATCACGCACCTGAGGGAAAGCACAGCACCATTTTTCAGTAATGATGTGACCCACTTCATCCCAGTTGAGGAAATTCAAGGGCTCAAACATGAGAACAACAGGCAATGGGAGGGTCTCTCGAACACGCTTTTCATTGCGGCGACCAATGATGACCTGCAAATGAAATCTTATTTCGTCATCAGCCATGTCATGACCATGAGCTCGAAGCAATTCGATACGATCCTCAAGAGGAATGCAGGTGTGAGAACGTGTCGGATCATATGCCCCAGTGAGAGGAACACTGACACCCGGTGCCGGATCAGCCGATGAAGACGCAACATCAGCAGCTGCAATTGGTTGGTCCTGTTCACTCACCTCAGAGGGCCAAGCCTGTTCGGAACTTTCATCATCACCACTACCCCAGACCCATGGTCGCAAAGTGACCTGACATGATTTCAGGGCAGTGACAAAGCGACCTCTCAGCATGTCATGACAAGCATCAGCTTCACTTCGAGTGCCGGGAAGCAATGTGCCAAACAAGGAATCCTGAAGAAAATGAATGGCCATAGCACCACATTTGTTGCATGTGAAAAACACTCTCTGCTGACAATTGATGAGGAACGACTTGAAGCCCCAAGCCTTCGACAAACGTTCAATCACTTGATTCAGATCAGCATGTGAATTCACTGGTGAATCCCAAGTGTGAATGTTCAGGTGATGTCCATTGGGGACAAATTGCACAGGAACACAATGATGGTTGATCCGAAAAACTCCAATGACTTGCACCCCGTCACGCAAGACCTCAGGATGAGATCCAGCCCAGACTTCACACGCAAAAGCATGAGGCGCCCCCCATGCAGCAGTAATCAGCGGGTCAATGACAAGGAGACTAGAGCCAGCAGTGTGACCAATCTTGGCACAGTGTTGAACATACGCCGAAGAGATGGCATGCAAATGAAATCTCAATTCATCGTCCGCCCAAAGATCTCCCTGACCAGAGAGCAATTGCAAACAATCTGAAGCAGAGATCACCTGAGAACGAAGGGCACTCAATTGGGCAGGATCTGCAATGGTCGGCACTGTCGGCACCTGCAAGTTCAGGAACTGTGCAGAGTCAAGGCCAAGCAAAGCCGAAGCGGAGCACCAGCCCTGAGGAACATGCAACCCCTGGTCATTTGCAACTCCAATGGCAAGATTGTGAACCCCACCAGGCTGATCATCATGAGTCGAACAAGGCTCAGTCCATGCAACTGTGGCCGTAATGTCTTGCATATGTGCATCGTTGTCGACAGCCGCAAAAGGGCCATCACTCAGCTTTGAAACTTCGGGCATTGATGGGAGTAGCCCGGATTCCCCTGCATCACAAGAGACAAAAAGAGTCCCATGGCCATGACATGAAAGCTCAACTTGAACATGCTGTCCTACCTCAAGGCCAAAGTCCAAAGAGAGACAATGATCAAGGCGATCACGGATCTGACCAACCCAAAATGGACCAACAAGCTTGGCATGTGCTTGAAGCATCTCAGCAATGGTGGTGCCCGGGGCAACAGAGCAGAAAACCTCACACTCACCAGAACCACAGAAAGAAACAACACATTGTTCTTGAGAAATGCACAACTCGCCCTTGGGGTCAGCAGTGACAAAATCAAAGACAGGCGTTTCTTCATCATCAGGCAGCGACGCAACAGGCACTGTTGGAGCTGAGACCTGGGCACTCCGAATGAGACAGTCCAAAACTTCAGCAATGGAGATCGGCTTAGTGGCTTCAATCGGCCACCGACAAGGATCCAACAGTTGAGGAAGGAAGAGCTCACGTGCACTATACCACTGCGCTACAAGGTCAATCAACTTCGGGTCATCCAACATGCAATCGTTGCAGGGCCAAACAAGTTGTGATCGTGCAACAAGCCATGAGCGAAAAGCATGCAATTGTGACAGCGGTGGAAACATGCATTTCCCATGAGACAAGACTTCCAGCCTGGCTACAATAAAGCTTAGAATCCATGCAGCTTGCAATGGCGATGCAATCTGGCCAATGGCTGAAAGAGCCAATCTCACGTTCTCGCCAAAGTCAATCATGGGGTCAACTCCATTGAGGAGTTGTGCTTCACACGGATGCAGGTGGCGAAGGCAAGGAGTGGTGGTGTCACTGGAGGCACTCTGAAGGAGGCATCCAAACAAACCCTTTTCATCAAGTCTCTGTGGAGAAAGACCCACAGCTCTACAGCCGCATTCACAACCCCGGACCTGTGATCCCCAAGCATGCAGTGCAGTTGGTGCTACACAGTCAGGAGTGAGCAGGTGCTTGGCATATGAACTGTCCTCCCATCCAAATGCAGTCAACTCGTTCTGGTCAAGCGCAAGAGCAAGCTCGTCTCTAGGGTTCCATTGACAGACATATGGCATGAGACGATGGACCTTCTCAAGGTTACAAAACACCGGAAACTCTTGAATCTGGACAGGACCAAACAATTTGGAAGACAAAACCCACCATGTTCTGGTTCTTCGGCTGGGCCAAATGGAATCAAGACGAAGCTCGATGATTTCCTTGTGAAAACCAGTCAAACGAACGAATGCATCAATGGACTTGACAACAAAAGGGTCATGACGTGCTGGTGAAACACACTCTAACACTAAGACCTGGGATTGAAGCATGACAGCGGCTTTCAGGACCCCACAGAGGGATGCAGCACGGGGATCAGCCCCCCCTTTCCTATCCCCTAACACACTGAATGGCTGACAACTGTACCCTGCACACATGACAGCTGCATGCTGGGCGTTGTGCCAAGTCTCAATGATAACATCCGTACTGCTGATATCTCCATGAACAACTTCACATGAGTCATGACGCTGGTGAAGACTCAACATCCGGTCATTGGCATCAACAGCTACAACAGTCTGAATACCAACCGCCAATGCCCCATGGGCAATGCCACCTGCACCTGAGCAGGCATCTACCATCTTGTAAAAATCACACCACGCGGGTTTGGTGTGTGACAGGATCCTGGTCATGCCACAGCTTTTCAATCGGGGCATCGGAAACTGGCAAACAAACTCAGCATCACAAATGGTATACCGCCAAAAACCATCATCTAGCAAACCCTGGAACTTGCACAGTGCACCTGAATGAGGCAGGAGTAACATGTGAGCTTCATGACTGGGGTCGAAGAAGGCAATCTCGGCAACCAACGACATAGTATCCCCCTTATCAACAACAGAGAAATCCATTGGGAAAGATTCCATGGCAATGGCAAAAGTTGGTGGAGCGAACACCCAGCTATCAGCCTGCGCAGCCGTACCCCACTGGCAGGAACTGGGCCAAACGGCTCAAAACAGATGCTCGTGTGCGTCTCATATGGTATTGCTGGCTTGTCGGCATAAACAAAGGTGGAACATTCAATCATTTCTTTTTCGAGCGATCTTCATTTGGACTTGGCAACTGAACTGCATAAATTTGGAGGACTGTTTGGAATCTACAGGTTTCCCATTGCTCCGGAAAGCTACCAGTTGCACATACCCCTTTCACATTGGTTTTAGAAACCACGAAAAAGAAAAAGAAACCGTCCCCCCCAAAAAAAAACGCCTGCTGCATCTCCTCACGCAGCTCTTCCTTCATTGCTCGCTCCTGTTGCTTCTTGTTCCAAACCACCAACCAGAAATGGATGGTCTTCCAACCTTTTTTATTACCAGAGGCCGTGTGCGAAGATACCGCAGAACTACCAGCCTCATAGCGCACGCAGGTTCCACGAAAAGGTGTTGCACCCGGTCAGGTCCCAGGTTCAACAACGGATCTTTCTGAGACTGTGTGTGTACTTGGTGGCTCATCCCACTTAGTAAGTGGGTTATACCCCCAATTATAAGTGGATTAACCTACTTATCCCATTTATAACTGGGGTTATAACCCACTTACGAGCCGTGGGATGAGCCACCAAGTAAGGTGCAGGTCCCTTAAGGAGCAGCATTCTTTTTTCGTTCCCTTGGAGCTTCGACAGGATCCAAGCGGCGCGGGCAAGTAAAGGTATTGATCTGTGCAAGGTCTATGTTAGGCCTGAGTAAGAGAATACCCCCACAACATAGGGCGTTCTATGCTACAGTAACTCCATGCAGGGTCCTGAAATAAAGGGAAATGTCATATCAACAAAAAATATAAAGGCTTAACGGCTTAACGGTTGAATCATTAAGAAGCATGAATTGATCGTCACGGAACGCATAGCTAACACCTCATAAGCATACCTCAGTTGGAAATCAACATCGCAGTCACGGAAATCAACAAAAGAAAACATGGTTCAAAGCCACCAGCCGGGTCGTGACCTTCCTCAATGATCCTCAATGTGTCTTCACTCAATGATGGCAATGAGGTTACCCAATTTCGAAATTTCAGCCATCAGTGCCATGATCAAAATATTGGATAATCGCATGGAATTAACCATCCTTCATGGTGGGATAATCATTCTTTAAAAACATGGAATCAACCCCAAAATAAAATTGGTATATGTAGGGATTTTTGGATAGAATTCATAGATATTACCCCCTGGTAAATTAACAGTTGGACCCTGAAAATGACCAATTTATAGTGGAAACTAGTCTTCCAACCCCGACAACTGGCAGGGTCGAACTGTTAATTTACTGGAGGGTAATCCCAATTTTCATCTTTTACCATATACAGTATTATGGAAAATAAAAAATGTTCTAAACCACCAACCAGTGTATATATATTAATAGGTGGATTTCATAGGGGTTTTTCTATGGTCATCCCACGTCCTCATTTGGGGATTTCTTATTCAATGACCATCCCCCAGATCTGCAAACCGAGCGGACCCGGGTTTCTCTGACAGGGGACCCCAAATCCCATTTATGAAACTTTAAAAAACAACTTATAGCTGAGAACCCATATAAATCCCCACTTTATATTATTTATGTGTTTGTTTTGAGTTCCAACTTTTCCGACCTCCCCTGCTATAAAGGTCTCCATTTAGAGATATATGTGCTGTACTACAGTGCCATAAACCATCACAGCAATCATTAGAAGAGGGTCTAAAGATCGTCCCATTGCGATTGGTTTTTTTATTTCAGAAACCCCAAATTTGAATCCCCAAATTGATGAAAAAATGATGGAGCTTACCACATTCTTCTTTGATTTAAACATTGCAATGTACTGTACAATGTACAATCTTATTAATCCGCGATTTTATACAGTTCCTATGTCAACAAGTCATAGTTAGTGCATCATGTACTCCATCTTTTACCAACTTGTTGCACAGTACCATCCAAGTGAGTTCAACTGCAGCATACTGAACCAAGTTTCCTATACTCGTCACAGCCTGCAAAACGCAGGCCGGTCGACAAATCCTGACCCCAAGATCCTAAAATGGGATAAAATCCTGACTTGGACAAATAAACCAAACTATGTAAGAATACATAATTAAGCTATATATTAACAATACATACAACTAGGGTGTATTACTGTGTATACATACTAAACAATTGATCAGTATTAAGCTATAGTTAATGGGATTTGTAACATATATGGATGTTTCTTAAAATGGGATGCCCAAAACCATAGATTTTAAGACTAAAATGGTCTAAAGTCTCATGACTTGGATGATTGTGGGGTACCCCTATTTTAGGAAACCTCCAAATTTGGTATATCTTCAGCCAAAAGAGGTCACTTGTACCTGCAAGTATGACTTGCCTCCAAAAGTCACGACAAAATCCATGTTGCCTATGTGGGTGTGTCTGAAAATAGTGTACCCCTAAACCCAATGGTTAATGATCATTATCCCTATTAAATGGCTATTTCATTGGGAAGATTAACCCTATTTTCAGACAAACCCATGTGTTGTTTTCTATGGAAATGGATGAAATGCTTGCAAGGCGGTGCCCGTTACTTTGCTAACTTGCTTTATAACTGCAATAGGGTTTATGGAGGATATACCCTCTGGTAAATTAACATAGCTATGGAAAATCACTACTTTTAATGGGAAAATCCACTATTAATGGTCATTTTCAATAGCTATGTTAGTTTACCAGAGGGTAACTATAGTTACTACGCTTTATAAACAAACTTACGTATAGCGGGGGGGCCACCACCTTGTGATTACCTAAAGTGGAACGTCTTCAACCAAAAATGACCCATCAATCCGCAACTTTTTCTGGCCGTTAGACCCCACTGAGAAATGATATCCTCATCTTGCTTGGTGAATTCCTCACTCTTCGTAGCTTAAATCATCTTAAATCCCAATAAATCACCAATAAATCACCATCAAATCCCATCAAATCACCAATAAATCACCAATAAATCCCATCAAATCACCAATAAATCCCATCAAATCACCAATAAATCCCATCAAATCACCAATAAATCCCATCAAATCACCAATAAATCCCATCAAATCACCAATAAATCCAAATAAATCACCAATAAATCCCATCAAATCACCAATAAATCCCATCAAATCACCAATCAATCCCAGCAAATCACCAATAAATCCCATCAAATCACCAATCAATCCCATCAAATCACCAATAAATCCCATTAAATCACCAATAAATCCCATCAAATCACCAATAAATCACCATCAAATCCCATCAAATCACCAATAAATCACCAATAAATCCCATCAAATCACCAATAAATCCCATCAAATCACCAATAAATCCCATCAAATCACCAATAAATCTCATCAAATCACCATCAAATCCCATCAAATCACCAATAAATCACCAATAAATCCCATCAAATCACCAATAAATCCCATCAAATCACCAATAAATCCCATCAAATCACCAATAAATCCCATCAAATCACCAATAAATCCCAATAAATCACCAATAAATCCCATCAAATCACCAATAAATCCCATCAAATCACCAATAAATCCCATCAAATCACCAATAAATCCCATCAAATCACCAATAAATCTCATCAAATCACCAATAAATCCCATCAAATCACCAATAAATCCAATCAAATCACCAATAATCTCATCAAATCACCAATAAATCCCATCAAATCAC